CTTAGATGGTTATTCACCAGATGACCCCCTTGCACTTTGCAGGACTGCGAAAAGTTGCTTCCTTCCTTCCCTAGTGTATGCAGCCCTATTCCTCATATTATCAGCACCTGCCATATTCTGTCACAAACACTCGGTAAAATAAGAAGACCCTCCAGCCATGCAAACTGCAACTTAAGTCTGAAAATGAAAACCGATTCTCTTAACTGCAAATATGAGAGCTGCTAAATTCAGTTTTGGATGAACTTCCAAGGCTTTAATCCTTGGTAGAGGATAAACTGCTTCTCCTCCCTGCTGAGACAAAATGCGAGGGACATCTATTGATTCGATTCCTACACAATCAAAGGCCAAAAACAAATGAATTAGATGCCATGCTTTCCATTACCTTTACAAGATTCTCTACAAGATATGTAAGTTATGAATGAATAACCATGCTGACCGCCATTCTATTAACCTAGTAAATGAGGGGCATACACCTGCAAACATTCCTTAACGCAGCTACATGGTTCTACTAACTTGGAACTATTTTTCATCTTGCGGGCAAAGATAGTAGCAACCCCAGAAGAGGTTTAACTCCCGACATCACATTCTGTAAGGATATAGCATGCAAGCTGCAACTAATCCGAGCTAACATAAGGCCCTAGATCTTACCAGCAATGCGTGGATGGCAAAAAAACAATTTGAACTAGTCCCAGGTTTAATACTACCAATACAAAATTGCAGTAAGAATAACTGTCTAGTTACTATATGTTTGGAGCTCTGCTGTACTTCAACAAGAAATCGCTTAAAAAGAATTAGTAATGATAAGAGCTAACCAGCTTGTTCGAAAAAGTTTGCTGGCATCAGTGGTCTGTTAGGGTTAACTACCAATCGTGTTTTCCATACTTGAAGCGTTCCATCTTTTGAAACAGTGACAAGTAGCTTCAACATCGAGAGCCAGGATATTGATGCAATTGGTTGTGAGCCTACCTGGGTTCTGCAATTTAGAAAAGAAAGTTAAATAATAGATGTAAAATCACCAATCCATGACTAGCGTAGTATGAGTGTTAAAACATACGATATTATTTTACAATTTTTTTGGGTGCCAGTGTGGTAGTTTTATGTGGAAGAAGCTGAAGCTTTAAGTCAAAGGAGGATTGAAAGTCTGCTACATAAAGCAATTATTTATTATCAGCCATGCTACTGCATTTCCTATTTCAACAAATATTTAATCATGAGTTTCATACTGCTCCATATCACAAGATCATAGAATTGTCATCACCAGCAAAAAAAGTAACCTAAAGAAACATAAACTGAGAATTTTGGTTGACAAAACAATAATGAGCAAGCAATGTAGTCTACAAACCCCTTGCCTAAAGCTACAGGAAGCACATGCATTACTAGGAATAATATGATAGCCACAAAACAAACTTTATACCTCGTAACACACATTTAAAGTTTCTATTTTAGAATCACTCAAGAACAGACAAATTCTAAAATAAATATGTTGTGAATATGCAATACTTACAAGTTACGAGGAGATTTGAGACGGTTGGAAGAGTACATGAAGTTATAAACAAAACAATTCTTATTACAGTAGATAGATCAAAATGGGAAAGTAAAGACATTCTTACATTCCGATCATACTGGGCCTCTCAGTAGACACATCCCATGCCAAGAGTGTACCACGTCTATCGCCAACAAAGATCCATTCTAATGTTGGATGAAAAGCAAAGGCTCCGGCACCAATGAGCTTGATGGTATTATCCACTGCATTATCACCGATAAATGGCAGTGTAGATATAAGTGCATACTGCTTTTGAAGAAATGGGAAATTCAAACACTAAATGCATAGTAAGTGTCATAATCATCTTACATTGAAGTGTGTAAGGAACGGCATATGTGTGAATGTTGTAGGCTCGAATCAAACCATCTGCATAGGCCACATACTGGGAAAACAGTAGATGACATCATCAGCTTGCTAAATTATTATAAGAAACTAGCGAAAAATCAATGATTTTATGAGTGGCATTCATGAAAAGTGCAAAATAAGTCCACGATTGGCAGCACGGCAACTAGAAGGAAATTCTGGAATACAAATTGCCCAAGCATTAGTCTGCAGTTTCTCAGAGACACCTAAGCAACCAGACACATCCTTGACCATTATAAACACTTTTCACTACAGCTGTAGAATGTAGATCTATAACAGCTAGGCAGCACGGAGGATGGAAACAACAATGAAAATTTAACTTCCTCAGTAGCCGACCTATCTATCACGTGGGTTCACAGGACTTTGCTTCACACTGGATAGACCAGTTTATGCTCAAATGATCCCATTGTTTATTCAATTCATAGCAGATCTCAAACCACCGAGCAGTACAAGTATATGCACTCAAGTGAACGTTTCTTACCAGAACAGGCAGCCGTGGATGGCAAGCAAGATTCATTATTGGCTTCTTCAAGTCCGTTTTTATTTTTGTGGGCGCCCTACCCCCTTCAACAGTTCCAACAACTTCAAAGAAAACACATAAGCCACAGCGATAAGTCAAACATATGCATCAATTTGAGCTGTATAACTAGGATGAAAACTATAGCCTAGTGCAGGAAAAGAAAAGAGAAACAAATCAAAGATGAGAGCCTTAAGGAGAAAAACAAACCAACCAACCAGTTACACTCATTCTGCGGCTGAAACCGAAAAAGACAACAGGTTGAAGAGGAGTCAATGCAAGATGAACTTCTGTGTCTATGGTTATACGTTCCGATCTCTTTTCAGGGGAATGTAATACGCAAGTTTGCTCAGTGTCAAAATCACAGCCCCGAATGGTACAATCCTACAACAGTGAATACATAAACAAGACGAACATAACTTTTCAGATAGCAAAAACAAGCCTTTCTCAGGAAGCAGGAATAAATAAACTGAGCTACCATATTGAAGAAACTAACCTCTAGAATAGCAATTACAGAGTGCCCACTGGTTGGGCTGTAACCCATACGTACAACAGGAGCCCCAATGTTAATAGTTGAGAGCTTGCTGCCCGTAACTGCATCGAATTCTGCAGGTACCGAATTCGATACAAACAAACAAAAAATGAAGAGAAACCTCAGAATTCTTGAAAATTGCTAGCAGAAACGAGTGAACTTACGAATTACGATCTAAATATCGCGTTAGGAAGACGAATTCTCTCACCAATTATGCAAGGCCCGATCGCCACGGCCACGAGAGCTTGTGTAGGGTGAAACGTAGCAGCATGAGGCTGCAATCTCCGGTTCACACCTCGACCTACATGCCGCAGATCCAGATGCTGCACCGTTGCCCACTCCATTGTTAAACCTCACAGTTCTTCTTCCTTACCTAGAGAACGCCAACACGCCAGAGCATGAACAACGAGTTTAGATCACAGGCCAGACGAAGAAATGGAGAGAAGCAGAGCTTGAATGATTAGATCTTAGTTGAAGAAGCTGTGTTACGGAAGTAATACAGGCAGATCGATTGAACTTTAGCTTCAGCATCCACGCCGCGGCAATTCAAGCGAGTTAGAAGAGGAGCGAAAGAATTTTCATTTGCCGAGAGAGATCAATCCAACGAAGAGCGAGAAAAACTTCCCAGCACTTTGAAAAAGTGAAGACCAGGTAGCAGAGCAAAGCAGTCGAGAAAACAGAATAATAATAAAATAAAATAACGATTACGGGCTTCCAGTTGGGCTTTAAGCCCTTATAAATAAGTATCTCCTTCAGATAGTCCACTAGTTTCCAGTTGGGCCAAACCCCAATGCTTTAACCCTAAGTAGTGGCCTCCCAAATAATCTCAAGATGACACTACAGCGGAACGGGTATCTCAATACTCATATCCTACCCCATGCTATTATGTGTCAGGGCGGGTAATACTCACACACGGGTACGGGACGGGAAGGGTCAATCTATTCTTACATGTTATTTGAAAATAATTCATGTAAAATTTTATATTTTACGATAAAATAAAGAGAAAAACATTTATAAATGAAAAATAGAGATAATAGAATAAGATAATTGAGCCTAACTAATCGAAAGATCAAGTCTAACTAGTTGGAAAAAAAAAATCAAATATGAGAAATATGAATAGATACTATAAGAAATTGTGATAGAATGAGTAAAAAAGGGGGCGGGGCAGAAGTAGATACCCATGCCCTGCCACACACTAATGCGGGTCCGTAATACCCGCTAGGGCTGGCTATTTGGACCGGGACCGGATGAAAAACCGGAAACCGGACCGTATAACCCGGACCGAGATCGGACCGGGACCGGATAGTAAACAATCCAATCCAATCTTTGGGCTTAGATTTAAGGTAAAAAACCGGATAAAGACCGGATAAGAGAGCTCAACACCCAAAACTTAAGGGTAATTTGCATAAACGGTCACAAACCTTTACACTTAGTACAAAACTTAACCAACTCCTCACCCTTTTAGGCCTTAGGCCACTCAAATTCCCACAATCTCAATATAAAATCAAGACCGAATCGGGACTGGACCGGGTCAAGACCGGACCGGATCAAGACCGGACTGTATCCAATCCAATCTTCGGTCTTTATATTCTCAAAAAAACCGGACTGGACCGGATCAATTTGAGCCAATTTAACCGGACCGGACCGTATAGCCACCCCTAATACCCGCCCCATCGCGGGTTAGGTCGGGTAATACCCAACGAGGCGGGTTCAAATTGTCATCCCTAATCACAAGGGCTAAACGTTAGTCGTTAAGTAGTGAAATATATATTTCTAAACATACTAGTTATTCCAATCATATGTTGTTTATTTAATTTTCTGGACCATCAGTCTCATCACAATTTTAACAAAAGAAACAATGTCACTTGTCAAAGTACAAAACTCCTATTATATTCTAATACCATAACACAACGGTTTGCTGAAAGATCACAATCACATTTGTTAAACCAGAATCCAAAAAAAAATTTGGTTCCTTTGAAACTAGCATTTGGGATTATCTTCAATGATCCCCCTGAAAGGCCAAAGTTGCTGATTTTCTCAATTGTTTTGTTCTATTATAGGCAGTGTTTCCTCTACATAGGTGAATTAGCACAGTGGAGAAGGAAGAAGAGCATGGCCCCTAAATGGGATTTCATGGAACGTAGAAGTAAACCCACCACCCATTTTTCGAGTGGGCAATCTCGAAGCAGCCTTTTTCCAGCTTTTGGAAGGATTTTCCATTCCAGTAATGGTGGATTTTGATGGCTTTGCTTTGCCCATCGAGATCCAGTCAGAACGAGAAAGAAAAGATGAAAGAACAGAGGGAGAGAGACAAGAGGGATCTGAGGACAAATACACTTTGTTGACTAGAACAGTGTTAAAACGGCAGAGCAAAGCAATGATGAACATTAAAACTCTCTCTTCACAAATCATGATGATGGACAATCAATGGACACATTGGGTTGGGAGCCAAAGGTGAGATAAGCTGATGAGGTGAATTCAGGGTTCCCTTCCTCTTGCCCAATGCCTCTCTCACACAGGCTGGCTTGCATCTATTCTTAACACACAAACTTCCCCTTTGCTTTTTTACTTTCTTAACTACAACTTTACATTGACAACTTCCAGAACACCACCCCCCCAAAACCCCAAATTTCTGTGGCAAAGAGGTCGACTACAAGAACACATGTAACGGATTCCCGAATCGCAGAGTGAAAATTTACCAGTCAGTGAGACATCTCATCCCCGGTGTGCCCAGCAATGTCTCCAGAGCTAGGTTCTGAGTTTTATGGAAAAATAAGACGCCACGCCTATGGAGTAACTCGAGGGTCGGATTCCTTTTTTCTTCCAGTGACTGCTGCTGCTGCTGCTGCTATTGAGCTTTTGCAAACGTCCGGCTAGACACACCATGCAACAACTTCACGAAACCCAGAAAGCTCAACTTCCCGTCGGTGTGCCTAAGCCAATCGTGCAGAACTGCATGAACAGGGACAGATGGGCTGAGGCCAAGCTCCTGCACATTGTCAGTGGGTTTTGGTTACTTGTTCGGAGGAAAGCTCAAAGCCAAGCAGAGAAGTTAAGGAAACATACCGACGCAAGTTCTTCGATCATAATGGCCCTGTTCCCATCCTTATCGAAGAGTTCATAGGCACAACGAGCGTGTTGCTCCCACCGGTCTAGAGCCTCAAGCTGATGGACACTTAATGCAGCTGCACAGAACTCTTCAAAGTCCATCCTTCTGTACTGGAGCGCATTCAGCTGAATCCCACACATATTAATAACAGTTTGGTAAAAGAACGAGTTTACGACACCCCACAACTGGCTTTTGATACATAAATTAAAACAATACTACAGCAAGCAACCAAACCACCTACCGATGCTAGGAAATCAGGGATCCGAGATTCCTTCATAGCATCTGTCGCATGTTTCATCAACGCCTACCCAAGAGAGAAAAAACTCTATGAACATCAAGATGTGGAGGAGAGGATTTTCTCCAAAAAATCTGAAAAAAGGGAAACTAACCGATTTGATATTGTCTAGGCTTATTGTCCCATTCTTGTTTGGTTCCAACAATGCAAACTGCTCTTTCAAAAAGAATAGCTCATCTACGGTCAATGTTTTAGATAAGGCCTGCAAAAATCAGTACCAACGAAGAACTATGCATTAGAAATTGAACCACCAATAAAAGGATGAATATTCATGCTTTTATCAAGATAGCGCACCCTCAAAGCGGCTTTACGAAGAGATGACGAACGCATGTAAGCCTTCATGAGCTTGAATACTATTATATCGAGGGGGACTTTAATAACATCATTGGAACTTTTAATCCATGGATGACCTGCACAGGAAAATATTTGTCACGCCAATGAGAAAAAATGTTATGGAAAAACAACTACAGATGGCATTTGTCACTATACTTACTCAAGGCTTGGGCAGCAGTAATTCTTTTTCGAGGGTCTTTATTCAGTAGTCGTTTAACAAAGTCCCGTGCTTCAGCGGACATGGATGGCCAAGGCGCTTCATCAAAGCTTGGATCGGCTTTTAGAACAGCTCTAAATATTCCTGATTCGGTCCGGGCCCAAAAGGGACGGCTGCCACATAATAGAATATAAGCAATCACACCTATACTCCAGACATCAGCCTCCGTGCCGTATGATCTATGTAGAACTTCAGGTGCTACATAATAAGCACTGCCAACAATGTCATTCAATCTCTCATCTGCACCACAATGAGATGGGGAGGCCGATTAAACCACAGGAAAGAAAAGAACAACCAGGATATAGTTCATATTTGTGTTTTCAGCGACAGACCTGGCTTAACAAAGTCGGACAAACCAAAGTCAATGGCCTTCAGTTGTGAGTCCTCGTCCTTGGAAGTGAAGAGGAAATTCTGATCCAGCAATTAGCCACACTTAGATACAAGAAAATGAATAGAGCAGGGAAACTGAAGTAAAATCCTCATCATAACATAACAATAAGAAATTTCATTAAACATCATTGAGAGTTCATAATCCATGAAAGTGAAAAATTATTGCCGGACCAATCAGGTTGCAACATCCCACATACAGACATTCTAGTAAGTGTTCTAAAGCTGAACTGAAGCATGGGAAGGCCACATCTAAATGAGCCATGTGAGATAAAAAAAAAATATTTATATAGTCTCTCTTTTCGCAGTGGCAAAGCTCATTTCCTGTGATCCCTTCAGAAAAGGAAAGCAAATAGGGACTAGGGCTAGTTTCAGATAGTCAATTTCTGGTGCAGTCTTGCCCTAAGAAACTTTCCTTACTATATCAGAGTGTTATCGAAACCCTATGATAGGAATGAAAATAGACTTATAAACCGACACAAGCCAGGATAAGTCTTGCGACGGAATCAGTACTATTGAGAATTCAATTGGCCATAACCTTGTACAAGTTAAACAGCAAAGAGAGAACAAAATTCACCTCGGGTTTAAGATCCCGGTGCACCACACCCTGTAGATGGCAAAATGCAACAACATTTAATATTTGTATCATTACTGTCTTTGCGTCCTCCTCTGAATATTTTCCTCCCCTAAATAAAAAGAGCATCAGTGATTAGAACTTGACAAAAGAACTATCTTCTATGTGAAGCTCCCTTCAGTTTAACAATAATGAAAATCAAACGAAAAAACTGGCTTAAGAAGAGACTTAAAAGGACAATTTTAATAGCTATAAATACTGTATTGAGGAAATACCTGGAAAGAATTCTGTCCAAAAGCTCTCCTCCTTCACACAACCTGAAGGAAGATGGACAAGAAATCACAGTACACAGTCAGAAGAAAACCATAAAGAACTGAAAAGAACCATCTGCAGCAAACATGACAACAGAGTCAAAGCACTTACTCCATTACAATGTATACATTATCACTGTCCTCGTATGCATCATAGAATTGCACTAGGTTATTGTGTCCAGTCAGTGCTCGTAATATTTTGACCTCCCTTCTCACATCTTCAATTGCAATTGCTGTGGTCATCTGACAAAACACAAGGGAAAAGAAAGCCATCAGCAAATGAAGTATGGAGTAGCCAGGGAGGGATAGCAGTACAATTCCAGTCAAGTAAGGAAAAATGGCACATCCAAAAATTGGTGTCAGAGCATGGTAGAATATAGCAGCACATGGGCACATCAGAAGAATAAATCTTTCATGAGTGACAACAGAATAAAGTGCAACAGTAGAGATGAACAGTAGATTCTTCAGCAGGATCAAAAGAAGTTGCAGAAATGCGCTAGCATCCTCAATTACTCAAAATTGCCGGCAGAAGATGAATCGGTCTCCATGCAACATGAAGTTGGAACAAGGGAGCCTCAAAACCAGAGATGGAAGATCAACCGCCTTTATCACACCATCTCTTTCAGAAACTTGAACATTGAGGGTGAGGAAACCAAAAATGATGGTTTCTGCTTCCTTGTGACTGTACTGTAGGAGTGCTAACATACCAAAAAACCCAGTCTGCATAGTTCAATTCTGAACCAAAAAAATACACCGAGCAATTCCCATATCTCTCTTCCGGCAATTTCCCCAGAAAGCCATGAGAACCCAGACTTAGATTACTCTTCTAAGTGAATGGACCAATTAAGTGCAGGAAAACTCTACAAGACCTGCAGATCTAGAGTCCAAAACGCCAAAAACCACTCCTCGTTGACTACAGCAAAAGCCAAAAACAAGGATTGGAAGGGTCAAATTTGCTGCGGGGAAATCCAAGATCGGCCCAATTATTTATACCTTCACTTTCGGGATGACCTTGACGGCAACCTGCTGCCCTTTGAGCTCGCCCTTCTTGAATTTAGCGGCGCAAGTGTATCCGAAATGTCCTCTCCCGACCTCGTCTCCCAGCTCGTACTTGTTCCCAAAATGCTTAGAGAATCCGAAGCTCTTGTCAAGCCCAGCCATCCCTTCCACCTCGCTCCCTTCGGGAATCGACGCCTCGTTGGGCTTCACGGAGCCATGCCTCCTCGCCAGAACAGCTCGTATGTGCTTCGCCGGAGACGGCGGGGGGAACGGCCGCTTGAAGAACCTCTTCGGCGTGCCGTTGCCGCCAGCTGGACCACTCGGAGCCGGAGATCTCGCCGGAGACTTCTTCGAGAAGAAGTAGTGCGCTGGACTGGGACTGTAGAAGGGGAAGAAGGGCGACTTCTTGACATTCTCCAGCTCCGCCCTCTCCTTCGTCCTCTGATCGTCGGAGGTCAAGCTCTCGTCGGCGCTCGACGCTTCCGGCCTCTCCCCTCCGCCGCCGTCGACGACCGGCGGGTCGGGTTGCGGGTACGAGACGTGGATGCTCCGGTCCGTGGAGGGTTTGGAGGTGCAGAGCCCCATGGTTCGAGACCACAAACTAACTCTTCAACAAACAGCAGAAAACCGAACTCGAGAAAAAAACAAGAGGAAGGAAGGATGGAGGAATCCAATTCTCTCCCTCCCTGATTCCTCCCGAACTACAGGCACGCTTCTTTTTTTCACAGAGCTAGAGGAGAAAGGAAGAGAAAGAGCTCCATTTTCAGACCCGGAAGAAGGAGAAATTCGAAAATTGAAATCGAAATCGAAATCGGGGAAAGGGGAAACAACGGAATCGCGCAATTCCGAGGAAACGGAGAACGAGCAAACTCGCTCTTCCTCTTCTTCTATCTTTCTTTTCTGCTTTACTCTTCCCTCTCTCTCTCTCTCTCTCTCTTTTTCGCGTTTTGGCTTCTTTCGCTGGGTTGCTTTTTATTTAGGGTTAATACCTTAGTTTGGCCCGAACTATATACATACTTTCTACTTTGGCCCGAATTATTGAATATTGCTACTATGGCCTGAACTATGTAGCAAACTTCCTCATCTGGCCTGGAGGCGCGTTTGACCGTCAAAACAGACGGTCAACCAAGTTGACTGTTAGTCAATATACACATCAGCTGCCACGTATACATTAAAAATTATATTTTTTTTTACAAAAAATAAAAAATAAATTAATAACTCTAAAAAAAAGGAACGGAAAAAAAAGAAAAAAAAATAGGACCGTCGGCTTCTGAACTACTTCATCCAAGAAATCCCGAATCAACTGCGCCGCCGCAGGGGAGAATAAAATTAGACGCGGATAAGGATCCATGGATAGGGATTAGGGAGCAAACAACTTAGCTAAAGAACTTAAAATTACCTCAGCCCAAGTTTCCATAGTGTAAGAAAATCCTTCCGGCTTATCAGATTCGCCAAACCCTAGAAGATCAATGGCGTAGACGGCGCGATTCTGCGCCAATGTCTCGATATTTCTGCAATTCAGACGGGCGGCTGCAATTTCACGATTTGGGGAAAGACAAAAGGGGGGTGGAGAAAAGAAGGGTTTCAGACGGGTACCTGCGCCAGTGAGGAATCGAGGCGCCGAAGCCGTGAACTAGGAGAAGCGGCGGTGACCGGGAGGGAGACTGAGCGACGAAGTAATTGATCGTGTACTGGCCCTTCCACCTCCATTTCAAGCATCTTTCCTTAATCTCCGTAGCCTGCAGCGCGCCGGAGTAGGAAGAAGCGGGTGAAGGGGAAGTTGGGGCTTCCGCGGAGGAGCGAATTGAGAAAGCCCTCGGTTTCGATTTCGTCCGCCGCGCCGATTGCGGCGACGCTCTGTGCGGCTGCGGCGGCGGGAATGGAGCCGTCTTTCACCGACCGGCCGCCGCTGCATTTGCCGGAGAATCTTCGAGAATCGCCGAGAATTCGTCGGGGAAGGGAGTTGGGGGTAGACGATGGGTCTGAAAGGGGGGAGGTAATTCCCGATAAGAATCGATGCGGGAAGATAGGGATGGGTGGCTGTGGGTTTTTTTTTCTTTTATTTTTTTTTTCTTTTATTTTCGGTTCCTTTTTTTTAGAGTTATTAATTTATTTTTTATTTTTTTGTAAAAAAAAAATATAGTTTTTAATGTATACGTGGCAGCTGATGTGTATATTGACTAACGGTCAACTTGGTTGACCGTCTGTTTTGACGGTCAAACGCGCCTCCAGGCCAAATGAGGAAGTTTGCTACATAGTTCAGGCCATAGTAGCAATATTCAATAATTCGGGCCAAAGTAGAAAGTATGTGTATAGTTCGGGCCAAACTAAGGTATTAACCCTTTTATTTATTACAATATATATATAATTCAATTAAATTAAAATATTTTGCTGGGGTTTGGCGAAAGAGAATTGGAGGAAGAAGAGAAGCAGAGAGAGAGAGGGATCGGGCAGATGGCGATAAAAAGGAAACGACGGCGAGTTTCGCTTTTTGGGGAAGAACTCGAAACGGGAAAGAAAGGGCAGTTAATTAGTTAATTTAAAATGAAAATATTACGCAAATGACGTGGTGGTAATTATGTGATAATGATTATTATTAACTAATTAGTAACAGTCGGAGGGCTAGGTGGACGGTGGGGATGGTGGTGGGTACACGTGGCAGGATCGTAGACGTGGGATCGGCGAGCCCAGTGAGCTTGCAATACTTGCTTTGCCTTTTTTGGTTAAATAAGAACTGTGTGAGTGAGCTAGAGCTGACGTAAATACTGCTTAATTAGTTATTACGTTAGTAAAAGTTTTTTTTACTGTTTATATGATTTATTTTGTTTCCCCTTAATTGTCGCGGGCAGGAATTAGGCGGTGGAAGAATAAACTGATTCCATGCTTTTTTTTCTAACCGGCGTAGTACATTGACCCAATTATAAGTACCGGAAGTCGTTTGGGGTGTGGAAATGTAATGCAGTAATTAAGATCGAATTATCATATAATGTAGTAATTTGATTAAAAATCTACATTTGAAAGAGCAAAAAGGATATAAGAATTGGACCGTGGAAATTGGCTTCAAATTTGAGCCGAGCTGAATTTGAAATTCTTCGAATAATGTAATCCTCAATTCTTCTTTAGTTCCTTGTCATATTCTCCCCTTACCCATCCCCATATTTTACTTTCTTGACTTGTATGAAAAATGAAATTAACCCATTTGGATGAGTTAGGTGAAAGTTCTAATTGCTTGTCTCTCCATTAATACCTTCTCCTTTAATGCAAACACCAACATTTGAGAGTTTGGCATTTGGCGAGCCAAATTGAAAGGAAAAAAAAAGGAAAGCTAAACTCTCAAATGACCATTGACCAAAAACCGAGAAAGCATACAAAAAAAGATATATATACTAACATAATTTCTCGTACAAATGCACTAAATTAAATTGTCTTTTATAAGGGAGTGCATAGGATATAAACTTTTAGCCTGCAAAACCCTGTTGTATTATCATATTACTACATAGTGATACGATTATATTACTGGAAGTTTTGCAGTCCGGGATTTTTGTATTGGAACCCAATCTTTTTATAAATACATCTGACTTAAGGCGGCTAAAATTAGTTTTTTTTTTTGCGGGAAAATGGAACTAAAATTAGTTTTTATTTGTGTGTATAATAAAATTAGTTTTACTATACACATAAAAGCAAACTTTAAAATAAAAATTATGAAAGGAAACTTTAAATAAATTATTATTTTATACGTGACGTTAACTCGGATACTATAATTTGAAGTGTGATACATGTTTATAGCAGAGGTTTTTATATTTTAAAAAAAAAGCTCTACATGTTGGTGATATATGAAAATGGTTTTTTTATAACATCACTTGCATTAACAAGTCAAACAAATATATAATTGTCCACATAGTTGATCGTTGTAAAGCACAAAAGTTAAAACTACTCAAACCATATGAAATTAAGAAATTACATTTTTAGCCACTTGTTCCCTGATTTGGTAGGGTTCGATTTTCCTTCTTGACTGTTGTTAGCCAAGTAACTCTAGTGTAACTCCTTTTTTCTTGATAATACAAGTAATCTTATGGAGAAAAAAAGGGCTATTCATTTGTCCTCCGTAGTCCGTACCCACAAACCAAACTTCAAAACCCGAAAGTCAAAATCACACGATTTGTTAATGAAGTTCGGTCGTGGTGCAATGTTTTACTCCCACGCTCAAAGGAGACTTTCCCTTGAGATCTGCGTTTTAGGTTGATCTTATTCCAATCCAATACAAAGGGCTTCTCTTTGGTTGAGAATCAAACCCTTAACTATGGCATAAAATATAAAGTTTCTAACCTCTCTTCTACCCTAACTCGAACTCACTCCATTCAAGTTTAGAAGATATCACAAGAATCAAACTCTCAATCAACCTCACCAAAAGCTCCCCACTTTCACCATATTTACAACCTAGAGATGTTTGGTCTTTTTCACACACAGCTTTCCTACAATCTCTCAACCACACTCATTTTATTCTTCTCCTCTTCTTCTTCTTCTTATGATAGTCTTGCTCTCGTTTTAAATAAACTATTCATACTATCACAAAATTTTCCTGCAATCACGAGACCAAGAGACAAGGAAATCATACATATTTGATTTAGACGTTGGAGAATATTTTTTCAAGTTTGACATTGGACTAGGAAAGGAAAGTTTTCAATAGCTACCTCTGAGAATAACAAACATGCATCCACTTTAGCATCACCGTGCTAGTATTTTTGGAGCACCAGGAATGATCGTGTCTTTCGTAGATGATATTTTCAACTTCATGTGTTTCTATAGTGCACTCAAGCATTGTCAGGGATGCCATTAACAAGTACAATCTTATTCATCATCAAGGAGAAATTGGGGTTATTTGGTGAAATCAATTATTTTATAAGAGCAAGCACATTATTATTTGGGAGATTTAATGTATGGAATTAATAATATTCCGTGGCCGCACTTTAAAAAAAAAAGTGAGCATTTTTGTCTACAACGAATGAACCTACGGATTGCCGGAGAAAAATGAAAATGCACCTTTATTCCATATTCTTCTTCTTCTTTTCTTGGAAGTATTTATTCCATATTCACTTGTAAAAACAACTTCCATTTCTTTTTCTAGAGAATAAAATTGAGCTAGAGAATCATATGCTGCCATTGGTGGACCTTGAAACTAATGGTTCGCATTATAACTCCAACCCATGGCATGAATAACGACACAAATAAATTGACATAATAAAACATAAAAAAAAAAGCAAGTCAACAAGGAAGAGTTCCTAAGGAATGGTGGTATAGGTATCAAATTGTGATAGTTCATCACAACAGAAAACACCTGAAGATTAAAATCTAACATCGAAAAGTTTTGCATGAAGTTAATGCGATGGTAAAATCGCTTGGAATGACAACTATTTTCCTAAAAATCGTTGTGGACAACAATGATTCTACCACTAAATCGTTGGAGTTAATAGCGATGTTGTTCAAATTTGGATAAATTGAAAATTTTTAGTAGTATCGTAATATTTGAAGAATTATTTTTTTTAGTAAGTAGGAGGTTGTAAGAAAATCGCACTTTTAATCTTTAATTTGGTATTACAAGGATAAGTTTGCTGCAATGTTCGAAAATCAGGAGCAACTAAATGGACTTGAAGGAATTGTGTTCAAATTAAGCACCAGGATGAATGTATGATGGTGGGTGGGTAGGCGACTCTCCTCTACCAAACTCTTGATGTGCTTAACAAAACGTGGTCGTATGCGTGACATGTTTATATGGAACAAAATTATGTCACACATTAGGTTACTCACTCTATTCCTATATAAAAGATGGTTGAGAACTATAGAGATCCATCTTTTTCTTAATGACCATTAACTATATGTCGATACATATCGTCTTACAGATATAAAAAATAACGGTTTTTTTTTAAATACACCGATCAAACAGCCAGCTGGGTGTGGATGAAACTGTAGGCTAAAATCATCCTTTCCCTGCAAAACCAGAAGCAAAGTAGCACCACATTGATTATCCTGCTGCCCACTCACATGCATTGTGCTATCAATGCCAATATGCCCATCCTAACTTCATAATTGGGCTCCCCACTCAATTTCTGCCCTTGTTTGTGTTATTGTGTATATGTGAGATGAATCGAAATGGAATGAAAATATTCACAAAATGAAAGTTTGTCATTCATTCATTTTATCCTTGACCAACTATGTACACCACGAATATATTCGAATTGTACATTTTTTTTAATATTTTTTTTACTATACTGGACATTGCAACCACACAATCAAAAATTGAAAAAAAAAACCCAATTCAAATGACACGAATGATTAAACCTCTTACAAACAAGAAACAAGAAATTCTACAGAAAGCTCAGAAACCAATCCATCACATATTGCTTGGGGATTTTGCTTACCAAGGTATTGTTGGTATGTATCTTGAATCTTGATAAGTCAATGATTAGCTTATTGTTCTCAATATTAGTTACATTCATACGAAATCATCTTCATTAAGAATCGTACCGATGCTAACAACCCTCGTAGCTAGTCGGGTTTTGGTTTAGCTGTCTTGCCAAATTTATATAAACTAGCAACTAAGCCCGCGCTCCGCTGCGGATAATGCGTGAGTGACTCCAAGTTATCATATGAAAATTATAATTAGTTATAGATTTGACAAACAACAACGTAAACATTTTAATTAATATCATAATATTAATAAATAAACACAACAAATAATTAGAATAATTGAGAAGCAACTACATATAAACACATATATGTAAAGTACAAACCATTTTACATTAACATTAGATAGAAACACAATAAATTATTAACAAAACATAAAAAAATATTGTAAAAATGCACTCCA